TGGCCCTGGGTCTGGGGGGCCCAGCGGCAGCGCCCGCACCAGCCCTTCTCTGCCCCTTCCTTTGGCGCGCCAGCCTCGAGAGCCGTGCAGGCCTTACCCGTGGAGGTGGAGCTGCATGTAAAATTCCTTTTTTGGGTTGAAAATTCCCTTGGGCTGCCCCAAGGCGCAGCAGAGGTGCAGGAGGCCTTCCAGCTCTGGACCGGGCCTCGGCTCCTGGGCGTCTGCCCTTCGTCCTGCTGCCGCTCCCTGGAGAAGGGTTGTGCGACCGGCGGCCTGGTTAATTCAGGCCAGTTAATTCGGGCCGTCACCAGCCCGGGCTGTTTCCCGGCGGCTGTCAGCAAGCCCGCCAGCCCTGGGAAGTACATCTCCCAGGATCACCACTTCCCAGATAACTTTTCCTCAGAGGCACCTCCAGGGATTTCCCCTTTTGCTGAGAGGGGGTACGAACAGCAAAAGAAATGGGGACAGTTGAAGCAAACTGGTTTCAAATGGATCTCACAAATTGCAATATAAGTTACTTTGGTGTCTGTCATCTTCTCGTTTGACAGCATAGTTAAATGATTCTTTAATTTCTTTTACATGGCCCTGTTTCCAGACTTCCTCCTGGGCTGCTTGCAAGGCAGGAGAATGTCAGTGCTCCAGGGCATAAAGAGAGATGCCTGTTGGAGGGAGGCACAGGTAGGAGAGGTGGCTGCATTGTCTCATTGCTATCACGGGAGAGTGCTGAAAAGAGAACAAAAGGGGGGTGATGGCTGGACGGAAGGAAGAAAAGAAAGGAACAGAACAAGACGTGGTTATAGGACTGGGATGTTGTGGTGGTGTACTAGCAGTTGGCTGGCCCAGAGCAACTATGCCTTTGATGTAAAGGCAATCGCGTCACTTACTGGGTGTATTTAGCTTGTTTCAGTGAAGATGATGGAGGGAACAATTACAGTTCTTTGTTAAGTGAGAACTGAAATGAGCATGATGTCTGGCTAGAGACAAAACTGACTGCAAACGCATGAGCTGGGGATTGCTGTGAGTGCTTTCTCTGAAAATGAGGTGGTTAGAGTATGCTGGAAAACAATGAAAAAGTCAAAGAAGCACTTATCATGTGACCCTGATGTACGCAACAAAAATACTTCCTACTGTGTTCTGGGAGAGAGGACTTCGTATTTGCTGTGTGAAGAAATAGAGTTGAATCAAAGAAACCCCAAGTGTATGATATAATTCCTTTCATAAAGGCAAAAAAAGCCTTCAGGATCATCTCAAATATTTGCTAAGCATTTGAACTAAAATCAGTGCAACACTGAGAAATGTTATGTTATTTATCTGAGAGGGAGTTAGGGTGGAAGGAAGCTGATGGCAAGCAATGTAAAGGAGGATAAAAGCAGTGGGATTTTGGAAGACTAGGAGAAAGAAAAGTTTAGAGACATCTGAGAATACAATGAGTGCCAAGAAAACAAATGGCAAATATAGGAAAGAGAGGTGTTGACAACCATGGGGAAATGGTTTCTTCACATGGACATAATATCTCCATCAGCATGTTCTAGAAACTAATGACAGAATCAGTCACAGAAAAACATTTGTGCTAAAAGGCAATAATGCACATTTTGTTTTTAAATTAAAATCTTGAAACTGAGGAATTTGACAGTTTTAATTCCACAGGAAATGCATCTGATTTGGAAGAAGAACACATTTTGTTATGTTCCAGATTTTGACCACCAAGGGAGAGGGCATGGTGATGGGTAATACAGCTCCTAGAGTCCCCCCAGGGGTCCTCAGGTGGTCCTGTGCCAGTCCTGGTTCTGCAAGGCTCTTGACAGTAAGAGGGAAGACCCCGAGGGGCTGGGGGTTTTAGCACTCCTCCAACCTTTCTGAAGTGTTTTGAAGTTTACAGAAGAAGAACAACAAGAAATGGAAATATTAAGCGCCAGAGAAAATACTGACAGGGTTGTGATGAAGTTATTTTATTATTATACAAACATCTGATCAAGTGTGATTTGAGTACAGTTGATGACAACTGTACCTAGCACATGGTTACTTCCATGTTATTTTACTAATTCAAATGTGAATTATTGACTTACTTATTTCCATGAATCTACTTACTCGACTGTATCTAGCACATGGAAGTAAATTCTTCCTTTTAGTGGTAATATATACATTGCATTTTATTTATAAATAAAAAGATTTTTTTTGCCTGAGATTACAAGTTTCAATTGCAAAGAGTAATTCCAGATGGATACCAATGTATACAACAAAAAATTAAGCAACTAAGGCATGTGGTATATTATGCAAAAAAGAAGTTAGCACAGTGATTCTTATTCCACTTGTAATGCTTGCAAATATCAAATAACTAGTTTAATATTGCACAAATCCGGTGGTGTTGGGTGGACATATATTTAAAACAACATGTAACTTACCTCCATAGGGAAAAAATAACACAACGTTAATGCTTTAATACAGTGAATGTATTGAAATTCATCATCTTGCTCTTGATCAGCATATTAAAAAAATAACACATCTTGTTGTGACCCACTTCAATTTAAAAGAAGCAATCAAATCAAGACAACTAAATAATGCAGTTCCATTTATGTAACGATGCTACTTATGTGGGTGAGGATTACAAACTCTTATAACCCAACCTTGTTTGAGACTGCTTAACTAACAGCTGGTGCTAAAAGATTTTGTAGTAATTTTTCCAAAATTTTCCAAATATTCCTGAAAGGACCCGCCTGAACGCTGTCACTGGGATCTCAACTTTTTATGCCTTTATCTGAATGTTGCCCATACTGTGTTTTTTGACATAATTTAAACTTAATTCAAGAAGCAAAGATGTTCTTCCCTTCAGCATTACAGGCCTCAGACTGTGTCCAAAGATGCTGACAGATTCCTTTTGACTTTGCCGGTTCCTGGATCACTGTTAAGTAGTGATGGGTCTGAGTCACCTGTTTCACTGAGATTCAGAACAGGAATTGTTCAATTTAGTAGCCATAGAAAATTATGAAAGGGGAGGAAACTTTCCTTCTTTTTTTTCCTTAGAAATTGAGGATATTTGAAAAAACAAATGGAAAATAACTTAATTGTTATGATTGCAATTTGTATATATTTTATACAGGAAGCCTTTCTTTCCACCTTTCTTTCCAGTTCTGAAATCTGCTTTTTTCCATTGCCTCACTTCAGCACCAGGAATAAAATAACTTCTAAGTTTAAGATGTCTGTTAGTCCTTAAGAAGAAACCGCCCCACACGGAAACATCTGATACCTATATAAAGTTCAAGACCTAACCTCCCCAAAATACACTTATTGCAGGGAATAATTATAGTATGCAGTCTTCTTTTCAACTGTTATTCTAGCAACTTTAGCCAGAGCAGTAAGAAGTTAGATGCAATGCAGACACCAAAAAATTCTGTGGGCCGAATTCTTCAGCCACGCACGAGCAAAACTCTCACTGAAATCAAGGCATGACTGGACCCAGAAAAGGCTTTTCTCGGAGTTTTTCTTTTGACACTTTTAAGCCTCTTATGCAAAGCTAAGTCATAAAGCTCTTTTACTCCTTCAAAATCTGATCATACTAAATTGGTAAAAATCTCCTACATTGTAAGCCAGGCACAAAGAGCACCGTGCTAGTCTTTCACTTTGCAAAGGAGAGTCGCAGCTAGCAGGTGACAGGAGCTGGACTGCTGCGAAGTAAGCTGGTATCGATGGATTTGTCACCGCAGCCTAACCAGGACTCTCTGCCCCTGGGGTCTGAGATGCGGGTTGCAACAGTGGCACTGCTTGGGAAAATGTTTGGATGCTTTCTTGTACCCAGAGATTATCCGCCGTTACTGCTTGATTCTCAAGCCACAGAAACATGTTAAGAAATTGGGAATAGTTTTTCCTGGCAGGTCGATAACCTTACTAGCTCCAATTGCATGTGTTCAGAAGAGCTGTGAATAAAAATACATATATAAAACCTCCTTCTCACACGCAGACACTCCTCTGGAGGCAAAGCTGTTGTATGTGGCAGGTCATGAAAACATGTTGCTCTTGTGAATCTTACTGCCCCTGGTCTTTACATGGAAACAAAGATTATCCACATAATGTGGTGGTTTTTAGATGAGGAGTAAGTGTCAGATGGCTACGCTGCAGCAGTAATCATGAGCTTGAAATCATTGTTACAAAACTGCAGGTGGACAGGGTGGTAAATGACTAGGAATGATTGACATCACTGAGTTTTTAAGAAACCCAGCCTTCTACATGAGATCTCAAAAAATGTAGCAACGCACAAGACCACTGTAATCACAGTAAATTTGTACATTGCAATAAGAAAAATTCTCTTTTCAAAGTGCTCTGGCAGCATGCACCGGGTAACGTTAAACTGTTTTTCAAGTGCTCCCACATCGCACACATAGATTGCGTTCACTTTGAAACCAAAGAGCTGAATCTGAAGCAAAAAAGCCTCAGCTTCAAGGATAATCCTTAAGAAAACAGAGGAGATTAAAAAAATGGTGTAGAATGACTTTTGGAGGGTCTCTTTCTGTTTGATGCTCTTACAGGCAGCATAAAGGTGAAAAAAGGCTCCGGGTACCAGTGCAATCACCATCTGTAACGCCCAGAATACCTAACCTGTAGCAGAAACGTAGTTGCCAGATCATTTACAACTGCATTGGGACAGCTAAAACACGCACATATTGGAACATTTTGCAAGTTTTTAATATATACCAAATGTATAAACACTTAGATGACAATAAAGGTAAAAATCAACATTTTGTTTTAATTTGAAAAGTTCAGTTGGTTTCTGAAATGTGAGGATTTCTATCTTAAGCAAGATAGAAAGCACAGCTCCATATTTAATCACAGGTGAAAGGTTATTAAAAGGAAAATATTGATGGAAAAGCTAAGTCATAATTAGCCCAATCAGTTACTACGTCTCATATGGAATAATTATGCTTAATTTATGCAGTTTATTTTCTTAACAATGGATTTCTGCAGTAAAAGAAGAGAATAACCTGAGGAGTTATAGGCCTGAACTGGTTGTAACAGGGAAGATTAACCTCTCTGTCTTATCTGGCTCACGGCTGAAATGCAAGGCCTCATTTCCATGGACAGCAAAGCCCAAAACACCAAGGGAAAACAGACAAACTGAGCCAAAGAGGAGAGTGTGGGATTGGCCAATTACTGTTGGTGGCCTGAGCTGCAAATCACAGGGTTATTCAACATGTAAAGCAAAAATGAACAGCGTTATTGTTGGAGGCCTACTTGCTCTTTTGCATTATCCAAAATATTTATTTTATTCTACTTGTTTTAAAAGGAGAGAGTTTGCCTATGAAGGCTGCAGTAGCTTTCTAACAAAATAATGGCTTAGAACACTTTATTGTTGCTAGTAATTTTATATAAACAATCATTTGTCTAGCACTTACCAGTTAATTTATTTGTGTTTATCTGTTGCAGGATGCACCAGGTGGAGCTGAACGCTTGAACCAAAAGTCCATTGATTTTGCTGTTGTATGGATTTACATCATGGTGATGGTGAAGTAAGGACCGCCGTGCCATCATCAAACCTAATGATAATTATTCTTGCAAATTAAATTTCAGCTGCTGGGTGCTCCCCTGCCCCGCTGTCTTACGCCAGCTTTTCACCCCAGCCTCAGGCTACCTGCTGTATTGACCATCACACCGGCCTCTCTCCCACCCCAGTCCTGGTCACGGTTCTGGCCCTGGCTGGGGGCTGCTGCCGGTGGGAGGAGCAGGACCCCCTGAGCCAGGGCATAACAGCAGCCTCCTGGGCTGCTAACAGGTTCAATTTACATCATCTAGAGCTTAATAACTCTATTTTTAACTAAGTCAAATAAAAAGTAAGGATGCAACTGAACTTGGAAGCTGTAGGTCCAAGATTCTGAATTCAAAGAAATAACAGCAATTGAATTAAATAATATGAATCCACTCCAATATTGCTACAAATGACTTAATGGCAATAATTGCTGAGAATAATTTTCCAGCATACTTCCTATGCGCAGCTGAAAGAACTCCAGAAGAGCCATGCATGGGAGCTCATGCATGCACCAGTCACTCCTGCTGCAGGGACGTACCCCAACAGGTTAGTCAGAACCTAGTGGGAGTTTTATGAGAAGGTGGGGAGAGGAAGGATGGAGGTAGGAAACCAGAGGAGGGGAAGTCATTCAGTCGCTGCTGTGTGGTAGCTTATTCAGTGTTCTGAAGAGGATGCATAGGAAAGTGAAATCCAGCCACCAAATCCAAAGAGGGGCATTGACTCTTTTGCCTCTAAACTCATGAGAGAGCCTCCCTTGTAATTGGTCGCAGCGTGACTTGGAGCTGATGTAACCAAAATTATTGCCCCGTCTGTGACGTATGCTGGCAGGCATGGAAACATAGGCAGGAGGAGGGAAGGGAGGGGAATCAGGGTTCATTTTCATGCGTGGATTTGGCTGCTGTGGCTCCAACAGGTAGCACAGTGACTATGTTAATGGCATGGTTAGAATAACTGTTGTAAGGCATTGGAACACCCTTTATAAGGGCAACCTGCCCTGCATCTGCTGAAGCAGCGAGATTACAAAGAAGGTGAAAAGCACTTCAATAAGTGTGCATTATTTACTACAGCTCCTTTTTCAGGCAGTTAATTAAATGTCCGTTTATCTCCTGGAGGACTGTAAAAGGTGCTGTATTAGTAGCACTGAGTCTGGGTTTCTAAACGTTTTTTTAATGCAACCTGCTGCTCCACTGTGTAGAGGGAATGCTTAGGTTTGTATGTATTGGATGAACTGAAAGCAATAATATCTCACAGTGGTATGTGATCCGCAATAAAATACTGCGGTTCTCAGGACGTGTGACTAACCCTCACAAAAAAGCAATAATTGTGATTACAGTGAATTGCTTTTCTTCTGCTCGTAATACGTATGGAGTTTAATTATTGTCTGAAAGCTATTTTTAATGTTCCCACAAAACTATAATATTACTGAATTAACTCAGTATGCTGGACAGATGTTTAATGTCAGTAATATTTTAATAATTTAATTCTTTTAAAATGTGAATTGCTATTGAAAACCTATTGTTGGATGTACTTCAAAGAATACTTGTATTGGTGTTT